GGTCGAGGCTGCGGTGGCTGGGAGCAGCCACTGCACTCCAATCTGGGCGACAGAGTGAGATTCCAACTCAAAAAAAAAATAATGTTTTTAATATTTTGTCATGAGTTTTAAGACTAAAATGTATTTATTTTATAGTTAGAGATTTGTGGCCGGGCTCGGTGGCTTAGTCTGTAATCCCAGCACTTTGTGCGGCCGAGGCAAGTGGATTGCCTGAAACCGTGGCTTCAAGACCAGCCCAGACAACTTGGCGAGGCCTCTTATAATAAGTCAAAAATTAGCCGGGCATGATAGTGCGCACCTGTAGTTCCTGATACTTGGAAGTTCCAGCTACTTGGAAGGCTAAAGTGGAAGGATCGTCTGAGCCCAGCAGGTCGACGCTGGGGTGGCCATGAGTGTCCCACTGCACTCTGGCCTGGGCAACAGAGTGAGACTCCAACTCAGAAAAGAAAGAAAGAAATTTGTTTGCCCACTTTTTAAAAAATTGCCTAGAGCTTTGCAGTTTAAATTCAGGAAAAAAACATTAATTTCAGTTTCCTGAATCAAAGCCAGACATTTCCGGCCAGTTTTTCTGTCAAGTGATTTTATTATAGTCTGGCTGAAGAACATTATGGTTAACAGTAGAATTTGGAGGAGAATGAGATGCTAATACTGTTCATAGTTTATGAATTTTTACCTAAGGAGGGGTAACAGCTCTAAAGTAAGCACTAGGGGTAAGAGCAGTTCCTCAGCGTTGCAAGAACCTGAGCAAAGGAGTTTGTGGCAACCTCTTCATCCCCTTTGCTGGAATTCCTGCCCAACCAGCCAACACTCCTTTAAACACAATTAACACTGGGTTCTATAGCTCAGAATAGCTTTGGAGTTCCTCAACAATATATGTGTCTACTGGGGACTCAGGAAGAGCCTGGTCCATGGCCCACTGAGCCCCTGTGAGTCTGGTAGTGCGAGTCAGATCCCTGCTCAGGGAAGTCACAGCTGACCCCCTGGACCTGACTTGAACAGTGGTGTCAGCTCAAGATGCCTTCTGAACGCTAGGCTGTCTTCTGGTAATTTTAAAAATTCATTGCCATTATAGTTAGGATTTGTTTGATGGCTGCATGTTTATCCTGCCATGGCACTGGCATAATTTGCATCATTTTACAAAAGTCCCCAAAAGCTGAGAAATAGGTTAGGTGGCAGGCGGTACAGCCCTGGCCAGCCCACAGGCTGTAAGTGTGTGGGTGTGCAATCTCTTGGCCACTGACATCTGAGTAGCTGTTCTCTCCTTTTTCATTGCAGCACTGTGGTTTCTCCCTACAGTGGAGCCATTTCTCTGTATGGCTTTATCATCTTGGAGAAGTTTCATATGAATGGGTGGAGGTAAGATGAGCCGAACCCAAGCTGTTTTGTTTCTTTCTTTCTTTTTTTTTTTTTTTTTTGAGTTGAAGTCTCACTCTGTT